CATCAATTGATTCCACTGCAGGGCCTCTGACTCGGAGGTTCTACAGTTCGAGACCCGACGGAAAAATTATTCACTGCAGCTAGGCCGAGATAAGCCGCTGCCTGGAGGAGGATTCCAGCGGCTTGCTGCTCCGATCGTAGTTTTACGTGGTTTCTCCGTAGAACTCCAGGCGAATGCTGGAACAGCACGCTCACAAACGGGCTTGGAACCGTACTCGATCTTTCCTTCACGAGTAGGTTAACACCGGATCTCGTCATTCAACGAAGGAGCCAAGTGCCACCTCCCGCAATAAAAAACAAACAATATTTACGGGTAAAATGACCTTGGCCGTTAATGCGTCAGGAATCACGAACCAATCAATCAATCCAGCGAGCTCAAAATCTTACTTACAGTAACCAGGCAATTTGCGCGGATCTGTCCGTCCGTCCGTCATTTTCTGTTATACACCTTGCGTTCTTTTGTTTTGCACTAAAGAAGCGCCATTACGGTCATCGGTTCCCTAGTGCAGACCAGGCCATTGTTTCGTAGCCTCCTAATCTAATTAAAAAGATTATTAATTCTATTAAATATGAAATGCAATACATTCTAAAAAAATCTATTAAAATCTATAAAATATTAAAATGTTTGTGAAACTCTTCAAAGCGTCAGAGATGCCACACTCAGGTTATTAGAAACATAACTGCATACACTTAAATTCATTTACTCTGTTTCGCTTACCTTTTCCTCAAAGTGTTTACTTTTATTGTTCTTTGTCTATCAGGGTACTTCACTCTCGTACGCAAGTATGGTTATTTGTCGTCCTTTTCTCTTTATTTTGGTCAGGTATTAAATAACTATTTCAGTATCCATTCTTTAATAGTCAAAAATAATCCTCAAAACCAATGTGTTGTAAGAAAGCTACCTGTTTATGAATACAAAAATCAAAGATGGAATCTCACTTACTAAGAGCGAATAACTAAGCAGAAGTATACATCAGACATTTTGAGCTTATTCATGGTCAAGATTCAATTCGACTTGAAACATTCGTGCCTAAAATAATTTAATTGAATGTATTAGAATAATGTGTGTTTCAAACATGCATATCTTAAAGAAACAATTTAAGACTAATCCAGAAATATTGAAAAATAAATGATTTGGTAAAGCACAAATCAAAATGTGTAGTTAAATCATATAAAAGTATCAAAGTGATACAATTAAATTCTACAATAAATATTTGGCAATATTTTACCTACAAATCGTATTTGATAATGAAATATGGTATAAACGTATTGGAAAACTTTTCAAGAACAAAAATGTTCATCTGAAATACACATGAAATATTCACTTCAAAAAACATTCCAACACTTAAAATACAAGTTTTTTTTACAGAGTTGTCAAAGCTGCATTTATTAAAACATTTTCGCTCGTCAATAGGCAATGAGAATTCTCGTTTTCGACACCTTTCACCTAACGAGGTGAGCGGCGGTGAATAATGATCACCGACCGAAGGTTCGTTAAATTCACACACGCGGTGGGTGGGCGGGGTGGGAGCGAGCGCACAGGCGCGCAGTAACGCGTCCATAAAGCCCTTTACGGGCCCTGCGAGTCTCTTAAAAAGAGCCTCAAATGCTAATGCCCCGCCCCGAGTGACGTCACGGACGGAGGGCTGCCGATCGGGCGGGCATCGAGGGCCGAGGCGGGAAAAGTGTTTCGGCGCGGCCACATCCGGGCAATAACCAGCGTCCATTACGAGGCTAATGGCCGCAAGAAAAGGGCTCCCCTTAATCGACGCTCACGCGCACCTCCTCGGGTGAGAGGCGGAAGGGCATCGCACCGCTCAGAGGCGACGCGGGGCAGCCAAAGGGTCAGGCGGAGGCCGCACGCGCTGGCGAAAGGGTGAGCACTACGGCTGCAACGGATGATCTGGCAAAATGTTGATGGTATGGGACTGGATTGCCAATTACTTTAACAAAAGCAAATATCATGTTATAATACCACATTTTCGATGTCACATGTTTCACAAAATGTCAGTATCTCCTTATCACATATAGAAAACTTGTAAAATTCTGAATGTAATTGATATTTTTTAAAATTTGTGATAGAAAACAATGAATGTGATTTTATTTTTTATGATCGCCGATTAAGGAACCCCTACAATGCCAGACCGGTGTAGGAACGATACTTAGTAGGAAAGCCATTTGATGATTATCAAATCCTACAATTCTTTTACAAAAAAAATTGAAACAAATAGTCGGAAAAATTCAAAATTGAAAAAAGCCCAAATAACGACAACACTAGTGTATACTACTTACGTACTCCATCTCACATTTTTTTACACAATTGCCCCATAGCACAAACTCAGAGACTGCTCATTCGAGTAGCACGGAAGGAATATACGATTCAATGTCGTATGTGAAAGGCGATGGCAATCCGCCCGAGTTATCTATATGTTAACATAGTCTCAAATTGATTCATCCAAATGTCTGAGAGTTTAAGTCTCCATCAAGCTATATGCCGTAGAATATCTTAAATAACATTTCAGAGTTTATTAGGTTTTATGTGCAAGAGTGAGACACAATTGAATCACACAAACCGGAAATTGTGCCCTTGAAAAAAACATTCCCGATTTCGAAAGAAATCTGCTAAACTTAAACTGCTTTCATTAAACACGATCAGTAATAAAGTTTTTTACCATGTCTTTCAGAAAACTGTGAGTGTGAAACAGACCAAAATTTCAACAGAAAGGAATCACACAAAAATCTAATTCCGGAGTAGAAAGAATCTCTCTGATTTCACGCCCACGTGACCATGCGAGCTGGCTGGCGGGCCCCGGGGCGAGGCGTGGGCGTGACGACAGCGCGTGCGGCGCACGTGCGCGTGGCGGCGGGGACACGTGGCACAGCGACACGTGGCCGCGGGGTCAGTCGACGCGCGAACGGAACAGCGCGGCGGCGGGGACGGTAACGCACTGTGGCTCAGACCGGGAAATACGCGGACAAAATAGTAAGTTTTGCACTAAGGGTGTTATAAGAGTTTTAATGGTCGAGCGGTGACTGAAATCGCGAGGGCGTTTAACTCTCTAGCCCTCGGCCCTGCCGCCGATAGATAATTGGAACCAGTCAACACCCGTGGTGGAACATGCAAAATTTTATTTTTTACCTAATTTCAATAATTTAGATTTACGTATTGAGTAATTAACTAGGTGTTACCTTGACTCTTTTTTTCTTTTCATATTTCCCTCCCATAATTCTATCTCATACTTTTCTCCATAAAAGAACAAATAGCATCATTAAACTGTTTTCATATTTTCCTCGTAACCACTATCCTCTCGAACCAGTGAGGTTATGCAGTATTTGAAGCTCCGTATCGAAGGCTATAACAAGCAAAAACGTAAGAGAAAAAACATAATTTTTTCAATAAAATAAAATAAGTAGTCTGCATTTTCGTAGAGCATCAGTTCCTAGTTCGAGTCCCGACGTGGCGGACACGTACTAAATAGCTTAGTTGGAAGACAACTACTGCCTTCTGATATTTCTAGAGGTCGAATGCTCTAATCGTTCGTTCCTGTGGTTTACTTCTGTCCAATACAGACTGATGCAGGGACAGTACCTCGAACAACGGGACTATATTATTTTAATTTCGTACTTTACAACAAAACTTATTTCGATGCTATATAATGTGCAGAAACACCTTCACGAACGTAATTTTAAGTTGTTGTCTTTTAAATTCTAGTACAAGTTTTATATGTGTAGTAATTGTTTTTCAAAATATATAACAGCAATGTGGATCCTAACGGAGTTGATTTTCAACTTAGTTTACAGAAAATATAAACATTATAAATATATTTTTGTAAGAAATGCATTTAATAATATTGAGAAGTCACAGTAAATTCCAATTTTATAACATTATCAATTAATAAGCAATAGGAATTCCCAAAATCGAGATGTAATTTGTATAGCTTCATAAAGATCTATTTTTTGCACGTATTCTACTGAATAGACAAAATACTGTGTAACAATGTAAATATGATATGGAACATATCACGACTGTGAACACATTTGTTAGTCATTCAACGTTAATTACGTGAAGTATACAGTTTAAAGAAAAGGAGTAATTTTGTCCGCCTTTTGCTCGTCTCAAACCATCGTCCGGCGCCGGAGGGCAGCGGCGGCGCGGCGGTGGCGCCGCGGCGCGGCGGCGCGCAGAGTTAGAGGCGCGTTTGGCGGCGACGTGACCCGCACGCGAAGCCGGGTTTGCTCCGCCGAATGAAATTGAGCGCGGTTTGTCCCCTCTTGGCAGCCGCGGGGCGATATCGGATGAAGATAGCGCACCGACGTGGTTACTTAATGAGGGCGCGACTTATTTGCGCTCCCTGACTTGGGTTTTATCGGCGACGGGACGGAGTTTAATTCAGGCCGTGGTAGGCATATTTGGATTGAAATTTGTTCCATATGTGCTATGAACCTTGGGCCTTGTTTCATCGTTTCCCTGCAACAATTTCACTCCCTTATCGCTCAGATTGATTGATTGATTAGTGATTGCAGGCGCGTCAACCGCTTACGTCATTAATCCTGTAAGTGCAGTGCGTGTTTTATCGCGAGAGGAGACGGTAATCTTCCACCGCTGGATGGCGAATCCTGGCACCGCCCTACGTCGGCTTGCGAGGATTTTCCCTTACCAGGTATCTCTCACTAGCATGGCATCGCCCCAGCACGAAAAAGCTCGAAGCTCTGGACTGACCTTCCGTGTGGTAGAGAAATGTATGTTAGTGAAAGAGGGAAAGAAAGGGGTGAAAAGGGGATGAAAAGATCGCGCACAGTCCGTGGACAATTTGTAAGATTACTTTCCCAGTTTTATGCCTTGTGTTGATAGATTAAATTGTGGAAAACTACAGATCAGAGAATACGGCCGTTAGAATCTCCTTCAGATCGAGGCTGTCTTCGCTGTAGCCTATATGGCTAGTGTTGAAAATCCTGCTACCGTCGGGTCTCGTATTCTACGACCCGGGACAGAAGCGATGCAATGGCATCAGTTCATGCCCCGAGTCATGTATGTCGGATTACCGTTCAGATGTATAAGATGTCAGGAAAGGTATATTTGATATCATCATTGCAAATATCTTTTAATATCATTAGATCAAAAACGTTTTTACATTTTTTCAGAAACTCTGTATTCACAGATAATAGAATGAAATTGTTATGAGCCTGATGAGTTACGAAGTTCTTCTGTACTCGTATTTCTCGTAAAGTAAGCACAATGTAAGCAAGAAAAATTATTCATTATGTTCATTTTATGCACTTTTTATTATAACTTACTTTATGTACTTCACTCGCAAAATATAGATAACAAAATATTGTAAAGTATATTTTACATTTTCTCCATCATCGAGGTGTGATTCGGACACGAAAATGAGAAAAAAATGCATGTACTATTTATAGAATCTTACAAAGTATCACAACTGTAAGCTTCTCAAGAAAAAACGGTAACACATCTGCTAGTTAACATTACTATATTGTGGATTTAAAGGTATTGGAAAATTTTCTAGTCAAAATGTGTCATATTCTTAAGAAAAAAATTGTTTAATTTTTTGAGTTTCAGGGAAATAACCGTGAACATTTGAGTTGGAGCTTGTCCACGTGTCGTGCGAATGCCTTGTTTGGCCGCTTCAGGCCGCCCAGCGCGGCAGGCTGCGCGGAGACCCGACACGCCCTGGCACGTGATAAGGCGCGATGAAATGACGCCGGACAGTGCAAGATGGCGGAGGGCGTGGCACGCAGTCACGGACTGGCCCTCTCCCCTATTCGGGCCCTCAAGGCGCACTGCCCCTGGCGGTGGTGATGGATGTGGTTGTGGGTGAGGTGGCGGAGCCGATAGTGGCAAGAACGGCTTTGACGATGGAAGTTGGGGTGGCGGTGGAGGCGGTGACAGTGGCTGTGATGATGGCTGTGAAGCGGCGATGGCGGTGACGGCGAGGGAGATAGTGGTGAGACGTGGGGTTGGCAGGGGTTGTGTCTTTGGCTGCGGTTGGAGTTGGTGGAGGTGGCCGAGGCACGCACGGCATGCTCGGGGGCCGTCGCCAGCGCGCAGCAATAACAGAAGCGCTTCTTTATCGGGGGAGGTGCGTCGATGGCCGGCACGCGCGGCCGGTGAGCGAGGTATGTCGGGGCGAGGAGGCGGTGCGCATTTTGGGAGGTTCCCGCCCTTAGGATTCCAAATAATGTAGGTTCTTGCGCGAGTATAAATTCATGCATGGAACGTGGCGTATATAATTTGTTATTTATTTCACGAATTTCCGGTACGCATCCAGGGGCGGCGAGCATAGTAGACTGGAGGTACGACGCGGCAGGATAATTGGTACTTACTCTCTCCATTCTTTGATATTCCAGATAATGGTAATGTTTTGTTTGGATGTGGTTTCAACTACGTAACATAACTAGACATATCAGAACAAATTTGTTTCATTGATATCTTTGTGTACCTATTTATGAAGTACTTTGTCGTCTGCTAAATTCACCAGCGTATTATTTCTATTTTCAGACGCACGTTTCGCTTTGGAGTTCGTCATTTAACTTTGAATATGCACTGAAATAAGTTGACTTTATTGCAATGGTTTCAAAATGAAGTACTGTTATATTTTCGTATATACCTCTCATTGAAAAACATAAATTACGAGATCAACGTTAATAAAGTACTGGAGCACCCGTAAAATTATAATCCAACGTTGTATTAACCCATCATTGGATTATA